TCCACGGGGGGGGGGAGGAGAAGCCGGCATCCCCACTCGGTGGCATGGCCACATGAGGCTGTGGGACCCTGGCCAACCAGAGCATCAACTGCCCCATCACCCCTGAGAAGGGGTTTCACCAGCTCACGTTTCCCGCTGCTGCTCCACCAGCCCTTGCCCGGCCTCTTACTGGGCCCACCACCCACGTCCCCATCTCACTGCAGAGCCATCCCCCGGCTCTGCTCATCCCGGGGCCATTCCCAGCTCCATCCCTACCTGCTCTGGTTGGGGATGATGCCCTTGTCCTGCTCCTGCAGGTCCCTGCCCACGCGCGCAGCCAGCCAGCTCCCCAGCCTGCCCCGGTACATGGTGTCCAGCACGTGGAAGACGTCCCCCCGGACGAAGCTGAGCCCCGACGGTGTGTCCTTCTCGAAGTCAAAGTGTGTCCGGATGTAGAAGGAGTCCCCCACGCTGGACGAGATCACCTTCCTGTAAACTGGAGCGCAGGGTGAGAGGGACCATCAGGGGGGCTGAGGAGGAAGATGCTGGAGAGGAAGGTGCTGGAGGGGTTTGGGAAGGAGCTGGGCTGGCCGGGGGCCCCCACAGCAGCCCTTGCTGCTATGGAGGGCAGTGGGGACACCTTTTCCTGCTGCGGCTCTCTCGGGCGTGCTGGGGACAGCAGGACCTGACCCCCAGCGCACAGGCCGAGCCATGGTGCCGCAAAGCCCCCGCGCTCGCGGATGCAGAGGCACAAACGGGGCCAGGGTGGCCTGGTGCCCTCCCATCACCTCTCTGCAGGAGGAGGAGGGGGCTGTGGGGATGAAGGACCACCCCGCGGGGGCAGAACAGGCCATGGAAAGTCCAGCAGCTCTGATGCGTGCCCAGAAGAGACAGAGGAGGCAGAGGCACAAGCCCAGGCTGAGTCTGGTTGTCACTCACTGTCCTGCTTGCTCTGGGTCCGCAGCGTGACGTCCTTGCCCGGCGGCAGCCTCATGAGATACTCCAAGGCCTCCTCGCGGGTCAGGTTCTGGAAACTGGTGTCGTTCACCTGCCGTGCAAAAGCGCTCGGACACGGCCATGCCAGCAGGACGGAGCGCACGGGTCCCCATGGGGGTCCCAGGGACGGCAGTGCCCAGGGCAGGGTGGGAGAGGGAACAG